TAATTGAACCCTGAGATCAGAAACTCGGCAAATAGTGTCCAAGGACATGCTGCATGGTAATTGAATCCTGAGATCAGAAACTCGGAAATAGTGTCCAAGGACATGCTGCGTGGTAATTGAACCCTGAGACCAGAAACTCGGCAAATAGTGTCCAAGGACATGCTGCATTGTAATTGAACCCTGAGATCAGAAACTCGGAAATAGTGTCCAAGGACATGCTGCAAGATAATTGAACCCTGAGATCAGTAACTTGGCAAATCGTGTCCAAGGACATGCTGTATGGTAATTGAACCCTGCAATCAGTAACTTGGCAAATAGAGACCTTGAAAATGCTGCAAGATAATTGTTCACTGACATGACTGGGAAGCTGACAAGTAGTGTTCTAGGACATGCGTGTCCAAACTTCCCATCTTATAGCAATAACATTTATTCTGTCAGCCGAGGAATCACGGTCCCCGAAGCTATTTATGAGGAATCAATGTCTAGTGCAGGATCCACCATGGGTCTTTGTGTACTTTAGCACTGCTTCTCCTGTTTCACGTGGCACGCGAAAGTATGCGACCCATATGCTTACATACATTACCTGCGCAAAGCGTGACTGAGAAACATTCCTTTTTTTTCAACTGAAACATGGACAAGGTACATATTAGCAACATATTACGTTGATACTATATCAACAACCCACGCCCATGTGTGCAGTCACAAAGCCCAAATGACGCAAGATTCCTATTTAGTGTAGTATAAGACCAGCCAGCGGTCACTATCTCCTGATATTCGACAAATCAACCAGTGTACAAAAGAGCACAGGAGTCCCCCACTGTCGCTCATCTTCCCGAGGCAAGAGAATTAACTGACTTTAAAAGTCCAGTTTCCACCCTTGCCGAACAGGGCTGGAATTCCTGGGCTCGATCGTAGCGCCACCAGTGGCTTTTACGAGTTATGTGCCTTCTATGCCTCTCCTATGGACCAATCAGATTCTACCTCTCGTATCACTTGCATTTGCTTCCAACAAAATGGCGGCGCCCTGTCAAGACGATCTGATCGATAATCAATATTTATATTGTGATAAAACGGGTCTTACATCGCGAAGTGCATCAAATCACGCGAGCACCTTGATAAAAACATGAAAAGATTAGGAAAATATCTGTTAACAACGAGTTGGCGGTGCATGTGCTTTGCAAATCCATCGACCGAAATCTGCATTACCAACCGGATTTCGATTTCGTTGCGAGATTTCGATTGGACCATGCATAGACTCGTTAGTCCAACCAAACTGTAATTCCATAATACCACACGTGTGTGTGTGTGTGTTGACTAAAGGGAGTTTGTGTGGTTTTATAGGTTTGGAATTTGCTAGTGTCATTTGATTGTTGCAATTTAGTGTGGACTGGAGTGTTGTTCTGTGTTGCTGGTAATGTGTGCAATATAGTATTACGCGTTCAGGCGTTTCTTTTAAGTTGCAGTGGGGGCATTTACCGGTTGGAGGTTTTTTAATTTGGTGTAGGTGGGAGTTAACTTAGTGTGGTCTATTTGTAGTTTAGATATTACTCTGTCAATTTTATTTATTTTATTATGGATTTTTGTTTTTTGAGTGGCTTTTGTAGCAGGTGTTTTAGTTTGCAATCAGATTTCTGATAGTTGTTTTGCCACTTTTGGAAGACTTTCTCCTTTGTGATACTTTTAATTTCGTTTTTGATATTGGTAGGTTGATGCTTACTTCTTCTAATTTTAGTGCTGATTTGGCTGCTTTGTCTGCGTGTTCGTTGCCAAACACTCCAACATGGGCAGGGATCCAAACTATTTCTATGTCTTTATCTAGTTTACGTAGATTGTTGGCGCTTTTAATTATCTGTTGTATTAGTTTTGGGAGCTTTTTTGTGTTTTTGTTTTTTATGGCCTGGGGTCCACTTAATGAGTCTGAAAGGATTAGGGTTTTTTGGTGTCTATTTATTTGATCGCAGTATAGGGCTGTTACTATCCCCATTAATTCGGCTGTGAAAATTGATTGTTCATTTGGGAGCCCATATGATTGTGTTTCTTTTGGGGGTTCGTTGATATGGATGCCGAATCCTGTGCGTTTTGAGCCAGGGTCAAAGGACCCGTCTGTGGAAATGTGACACCAATTTGGACATTTTTCGTGAATGTATGCAAATGTGATGGATTTAGCGATATTTGGATTAGTTCCTTTATTTAGTCTGGAGGAGAGAGATATAATAATTTAGGTTGTGTGTATTTCGGTAATTTATCATGCGTTGAGAGATTGATGTTAATTGAGGGTTTTTGCGAGCTAGAGCTTGGAGTCTGGGGCTCTTATTAGTTTTAAGGATCTGTTGGATTTTGGCCTTTTTGTTGGGTTGAGGCCCAGTTATTTATTGTTAGAAGTTCTCGGCGTAGATCCAGGGGTATTTCGCCTGTTAGTGCCTGTAGCGATATGCTCGGTGTGCCATGCTGAGTGCGTGTGATTATCTTGAGTGCTTGATATTGAATTGAGTTTAGTTTATCTCTTAATGAGGAGTTTAAGGTGTTGTATATTTGGCATCCATAGTCTATTTTTGATCTAATTAGTGATTTGTAAAGACATTGTAGGGTCTTCTTGGAGGCCCCACTACTTGGAACCTGTCACGCACCGTAGTGTGTTTAGTTCTTTAGTGCATCTATTTGTTAGGTTTTTAATGTGAACACCCCAGGTGAGGTGTTCATCAAAGATTAGTCCAAGGAATTTGGTTTCTTTTTGGAATTGTATGTTGTTGTTTTTTGTTGTTTAGTTGTAGTTGGGAGTGTTTGCACGCATATTTCTGTGTTTGAATACTATCCCTGTGGTTTTTTCGGCATTAAGTGAGAAACCCCATTTATTTACCCTTATTTGAATTTTATTTAATGCATTCTGCAGTAATTTTTTAGCCATATTTATGCTTCTAGTGCAGACCCAGAGGGCTCCATCTTCCGCGTATTTGGAAGTTTAAATTTTATTGGGTATTCCAACGAATAGGTCATTAATCATAACGTTGAAAAGTGTTGGGCTTAGAATGCTACCTTGGGGTGTGTCATTTTCTAAGGGACACTGGTCCGATAGCGTTTGGTCGATACCAACGGTTATTTTGCGATTAGTTAGTAAGTCTTGGATATAGTTTTTTTATTTGGCCTTTAAGTCCTGCTCTTTTTTTAGTTTTTGTATTAGCCCGTTATGCCATACCATGTCGAAAGCTTTAGAGAAGTCTAGAAATATGGGTCCCACGATTTACAACCTCGTTGACACCACGCCATGACGATATCGAATGATGAGGGCGAGGTAATTTCGCGTATTAACACCTCTTAAGGTCGCAGTGTCACCCTTAATACTCGTACAGTTGGGCTACGAGTTCTGATTTTATACGTAGAGCCGACCTTTAAGGCCTAACAGCGGTACCGCGAGACAATGCCTGTAGACCTCTAGGGTTTACCTCTTATAATACTAACACCGTTATACTGTCCCCTTTAAGACAACGGATGTAACGTTATGGACAAACGCTCGCGAGTTATTTTGACAGATATATACCGTAACGTAGTGCTTTAAGGTAATGCGTGTTTGCATTACGAGTAAGGTATGTATACATCTATTGCCCCGTCAATATGATCGATGTATGTTTATTCTTGAAAACGTATAGACGGCACGGGAACAAAGTTGTCAGGATGTCCAAAGCTATAGGTAAAGGGGACATTGCTACCATGGTAATGATGTAGGTTTGAGTGCGGGTCATTGACCCGGAACTGTCATGTGATTGTCCGGCATAGTACGTTCATTTGTTATCCGGCTGGTCACGTGATTTTGATCGCCGGACCGTCATCGCGGATTTATCATTTGCGGCTCGAGCTGTTGGAGATATCGGACGTGAAAATGGATTCTCCAGATTTAAGCGCGGATTGCGACGCTAGTGTCGACTACGGATGTAAATGTTTGGATGCCGATAGCTGTCGGAGTTCGTGGACAGTGGGATCGGATATTATGGTCATTCCCGATCATCCTTCCTACAGGTATTTTAAAAATCGTTTAGATACCTACTACAAATTTCCTATTCAAATTAAGCAGACTCCTCTCGAGCTGGCCAGGTGCGGGTTATTCTACACGGGAATGAACGATTGCGTTCAGTGCTATATGTGCGATATTAAACTGTACAAATGGAAATATGAAGACAAAATCTTACAAGAACATAGAAGACATTCCCCCAACTGCGTCTACCTGAAGACCGTATTTGGCTCACCATCCACGACGATCTAAGACGTCGTCAACATCCACGTGTACAGCGTACGCACAGGTTCCTTATGGAACCACCAAATCTCCCAAAAGAAAACTTTTAACATTTTGCTGAGACGCTTTCAATAAAGATATCCTTTCTCTATTTCTTTTTTTCAGCTGGAGAATTTCACTTTGTAATTTTAGGGCTTCTTTTTATTATTATTGTATACACTAAGTCTAGAATAGCATTCACTAGGTTTAATTATGAATAAGTTACATAACAACGCTCAAAATCAAAATGGGTGGGGAAGTGGGGTAGGACTCCTGGGTGGGGGTGGGACCCCTGGAGTGCTGGGGTGGGGTGGGGGGACCCTGGGCTGGGGGAGGGGGACTCTGCGGGTAGAAATAAGCCAATGAGAGGGCTGCAATATATGACGGGCAGAAATCAGCCAATGAGATTAAAAAACGGGCATTAGTGAACTATATACTACTGCTGTGCCATAGCACAGCGTGTTTCAGCACATTTACGAGAGATGTATCAACTCGGATACAGGATATGTGTACTCAGTTGCCGCCGTGAGATGATTTATAACATCGTTGTTCAGGGCACGGATTCTAGCAACGATGTTGACGTATCTGTATCTGGAAGAGCTGTGACGGGTCCGTTTAACTGCAGGAGCAAACTTCAAATCCGCGACGGACTTTTATCTCGTCCAACCTCGTAGATTTTGTAGCGGAAATAACACTCTCGAGTGTTAATGTGCACACCCACTGCCTTATTGGCTGAAGGTTCAGGGTTGAGGTAAACAGATGACTGTATGACACATTTACTGTGAGATCCTGAAAGATTAACACAGTTCTTGCATTCTGCCTAAGATTGAAACGACTTAAAACTTATTCCGATTCCAAGCAATTTTATTGTTTACATTAACATAAGAGTTAACCATTCGAACATTTTTCTACCGGTTGGTCCCCACTTCGAGGCAATGTTTAGGAAGAACGATAACTGCTTCATTTATAACACGGGTATGCATAGCATCGATTCCTGGGTACATTTCAAATGAAATTCGCTAAATGTTTGCGCTCAGAACCGACATGGGTAAATTAATGACTGAAAAAGGCAAATGAAGACTTTGTTTATGTACTGTAAGCAGTAGGGGACGTAGTTACGCGTAGAAGTGACCACTGTCTGCCTGTCCATGGGCGATGCATTTCTACATGTAGCATAAAAACGTCTCTACAAGTTTTATTTACCAAAATAATTAAGCAAAATTAACCTCAGTTATTGATAATTATACCTGTTATCGAAGGACATGAACGCAATTTAAAAAGACAAACTAAACGGTCGAATTGGAGAAAAATGTGCGAAATGTGAACAAAATCACGTGGATTTTGACAGCGAAATTTTCCTATGTACATATTTGTCAGAAACTTAAATTTAGTATGTTCCGAAAGCTTATTCATCATAATATATGTCATTTTTCAGGCACTCGCCCTCACACGTTTGCCGTCGCGTTAAATCTGCGCTTACCGACTAGCGACCAGAACTGGGATAAACACCCTAGAACATTTTTAGCTGTGTACACTCATGATATTGTAAGATAAGGTTTGATTTGCAATATATGTATTATGTGAGAGGGTATATGCAGAAATATAATTATAATAATTATTCTGAATACTAAGCTTTTCGCGAACACGTGCTATCATCAAATATTTGACAGTGATTCATAAACACATCCTCATGGTGAAGTACGAATCGTACAATCGATTCAGTGTTATGCAGAGATATATATGAATAAGGAAAAGGTTTTGTCGCTTTTATTTCATTAAATATAAAAAAAAAAGAATATGAAACTTTACACGTCGGAGTTTAAAGGTGTACAGTCACGTGTTCTAAGCCCAAAATCCTGACATCCATCTTGCAAATGGTATATTATATTCTTATATTCTCTCAAGTCCCAAAGTCAACATTTGTTAATATGATTGTCACTATCATGTTCGATTTTTGTGGCAACAATTATTAAAAAAAAAATCCATTTGATTGTTGTGTACATGATGAAATACGCAATTAAGAAATATAAATGTGGGAAGTGTGTATTACCCGATTAAAAATGTGAAAGCGTTTGTGATGGCTAACCTTAAAAAATAAATGAAATAAACGAAACAAATTACCAGCAGAAACGATTTAATTTTCCTTTGAATCACCAACCACCCTGTTCTTATTTCTTTTAAGGATAAACTATCATATGTAATATGTATCACCACACGAGAAAATGCTAAAATAGTTGGCTTTAACTTAGACTGTGGTATCCGTTTCTGTCAAATTATCCACTCCTAGCTCAGCTTAGGATACAGTGATTTCAATGCACGCAAATATCATAGACATATCCATGAGTCTACTACCTGCTCCCGTGGATCCATTATGAGGATCCTACACCTTACTTCTTTTCATGTCGTAACTACTGCAATCTTCAGAACAATATGTACTACTATATAAACGGATATGACTTGGATTCAGTAATATATGGAAATGCTACAACATCTACAGATACTAGCCTTGCTATTGTACAATCTGTTCATTTGTTATTGCAAAATCTAAAAGATATAAAATAAGATTTAAAATGTGTCTTCTTTACGATTACATCAATTAAATAGTTGTTTGTATGTACTGGCATGTAGAGGTAAATGTGTACAAGCATATATGTGTATACCTACATATGCATGGCTTCACAGGTTTGGTTATGTACCGACATATGTATGTGTGGATTTGTGTATTTGTTTGTGACTTGTATATTCGCATCATAATATTTTTAACAGTAGGTAAATTAATCTTAATCTATTATTTTATGTACAGTTTACTCTTTTTAATTGTTAAATGTCCTTTAAGGGAGGCTGTGCCTGTTCACAACCCAATTCCTTTTTTTGCTTGGATATATGTTTTTTTAAAAACATATGTAATATTACAAAATCACTCCGTGGGCTGCATGCAAATAACTAGGAAACTCATCGAACCATTCCTGGTAGCTTTAGGGGTTGGAGGTGGGGGTATATATTTTTAGAACAATCTATTCCCCTCCCGCTCTTACTGTAAAGGGCGATTAACCTGATACTCCTCAGTACTGCTTCAGCCATCAAAGCACGCAGAGCTGCTGCAATTTTTAAATATGTTTTGCAAATATCTTCCTCATGCTAACAAGTCTTGGCCTCTTTCAAGTATCAAGTATTTTGTGCAATGTCGTCACAAAGTATATGTATTGTATAACACACCATATACATCAATGGTCAATAATTATATTCCACCTTCCTAAGGGACCGACCATATTTCAGTTTACGCATAGCTGAAACCATTTTCCCTGTCCACCTGGCAATAACTGAAAAATGTGCAGTCCATTTCGTATCTTGAGATAAAGTCACCCCCAGGTGTTTGTGAGTTTCTACATGTTCAATGGCACTATTAGAAAAACAAACCGTTGGATAATCCCGTACCTGTTTGTTACAAAAAAGCATATATTTTATCTTAGATGGAATATAATTTACAAGCCATGTGCCTGCCCACAGATAAATGGGAGCGAAGGCCTGGATTTGACCTTCTTCAATTAAAACCATATCATTAGATGACGTTCCTACGCATGTATCATCGGCGAATAACCTTGCAACATTTTGAAGCTGGTCAGTAATATCATTTATGTAAACTAGAAATAGAAACGGCCCCAATACAAAGCCCTGTGGGACCCCTGCTTTGGTGAATATTTTACTTGATAAACTACCATTAATAAATACTCTTTGGCAACGATCTGACATATGACTACGAGACGAAGCTAATAATTTACCAGTTATACCATAATGTTGACGTTTATGCAATATACCTTTGTGCCATACCCTGTCGAATTCTTTAGAAATGTCACAGAATATCATACAAAAGTACTTATGATCATCAAACGAATTACAAATGTGAGGGTAAATTATAATCACTTGCTATGTAGTACAGCTATCTGGCATGAATCTCGGTTGATATTTGGAAAATAGTTTATTCTCTAGAAAGTAATTATACATTCTTTTAATAAGTCTTTCAAATAAAATTTCCAAGGCAAGATAACCGTGAAATAGGCCAGTAGTTGGAAGGGTGGGATTTATCTCTCTTTGTGTAAAAAAAAGTATATTAGCTTGTTTCCACTGCGATGGGACTGGGCTTGTTCAAGAGAAATATTGAATAATAAGCGGATACGCTATGGATAGTGATATATATTCTAGTAATCTGTGGCTCAGGGTGTCGGGAACGCTTGCTTTATTTACCGGTTGGGACTTTATAAGATATGTTATTTCTTGATTTTCTAAACGGAATAATCCAATTCATGATCACATAGTTTAACAAATGGTGGTAGCGAGGCGCCTTTATCATCAACATGGGAAACTGACGTAAAATAATCATTGAGAGCTTCAGCTTTAACAAAATCAAAAAATGCTTCAAGTACAGTGTTGTTATTAGTAACCAGATGTGGGATCACGGTGATGGCTCCAGACTCTTTGATGGAGTGACGTAGAAGTTTCCAATAATTAGAACCGTTTTCTTTGTGTAGATAATAACTCGTCTCAGTATAGATAACAGTTTTCCTTGCCAGCTTTCTTCAAATTATTTACTGTATTTCTTTGTTTTCTATATTCTTTAAAATCGCTTTCATTGCATGCTTGTCTAGCTTTTTTCTCAGTCGATCTCTTATTCTTATTTCTCTACGTAGTTCATATCTGTTGGCCTTATTGTAACAGCACGGCTTGGAATGCATAAGCTTATATATACAGTTTAAAATGTGGACAGAAAAATATCACATATTAAATCAATAGACTCGCAGCTATTAAACAAACGCATCCAATCAGCTGATTCGCAGCTTAGCATTGCCACCATTTTTGTAAATCAGAACCTCTCTTACATATGATATTTTCATATCGATGCAGTTCGTAAGCGAAACAACAAGCCCCTTGTGGTCACCGATATCCATGCTGAAGTCAACAACAGTCGACTCTTTCTACAATCGTCGCTGATAACAATAGGGTCAAGGAGAGTTTGTGAATGCCGAGCGCCACATGTCGGCTCTTTAATTACATTACGTTAACTCTTCCTGACTAAACTATCGTGCAGATGATGTAGGTTGATGATGAGTAAATCTCCCTTAAGATCACCAAGAGGAACATAAGGCGTATAATCTAGGGCAGTTTCACGTGAGTGTTGTAGTTAACCCCAATACAACACAGGGGTGTTAGGTGGTCTGTACCATGCACATAAAAATATTCTCTTCTGAGGCAAGAAAACCTCGAAACACAAATTTTCATAATTGTATGATTCTAAATCTTACGTTTAACGTACAACAATGCCGAGAAACGATACAATTTATACAATAATACCACCACGAAAACAATTCCTATCCCACCTATTGGGAGCATGATAAAGGTCTATTTTCAGGTCTCCCACATTAAGCTGACACGCCGCGATATAACTGGAATACTGTTAAAAGCGGCGTTAAACCCAACTCACTCAATCACTCACTATTTCAGGTCATCAATGTGTGTCGCTGTAAAACATACTATGTCATATTCCGAGATTTGCTCAGAAATACGAGGTAGTTTATATTGTAGACTCCTTACATTTAAGTGAAATATGGACATTTCCTTATTACGCGAAGCAGGAACGAATTTTACTCAAATACTATGTAAGATGAAATATACATTCTAAAATGGAGGGGGCACAGTCGGCCCACTCGTCTAAGGCGCCGTTATTCTCTGTGCATAGCTGCGTCCCTTGGGCACGCC